ATCGTTCAGCCAAAGCTCTGGCCTTAGCCAGCACAACAGAATTCATAGTGGAGAAACACCACACAAGCGTCTGCTCTGCGGGGAGGCCTTCCATCACGGCTCTGAGCTCCGGCGCCCCAACAGAACACACACAGGCGAGAAACCCCACGAGGGCCGCCGCTGCGGGAAAGCCTTCAGTCAACGCGCTCACCTTAGAAGCCATGAGAGACCCACCCTGGAGAGCGGCCGCACGCGTGTCCGCTGGGCGGGAGAGCCTTCAGCCACCGCTGCTCCCTTCGGCGACACCAGGGGACCCAGCCCTGAAGGGAGAGTCTCGCAGGCCTGCAGGAAGTCACCTGCCTGGTGGACAGTGCATGATAAAGCAGAAGCAAAATCCAGTCCCAGCATGAATATTAAACCCCTCCAAGGGCTCTCACAGTGCATGAATCAGCACTGCATTCCTGGGGTGAGCAGGGAGGATCCTCCCACCCCCATACTCTGCCGTCAAGAGGTCAGGTTTGCAGGTGAGTTCTCCCAGGTCAGAGCAGTGACTGGTGGTTTCGCACATGCACAGATGTGCTGTCAGTGTGCCGCTCGCCAACCTGACATCACAGGTGCAGGCCCGCTGCAAGCAGAGCCGTGGGGACGGTGTCACCAACAGCTCCAAACTTTGACATGTCTGGAGGACTTGTGCAGGGAGCACCTCATTCTTCTAAAATTATTTCCATCCTGGGCAAGCTCGGCTCGGGAGAAACGCTAGTCTCACAATCACTGTGAACTAAGATTCAGCCACCTACCAGCCTGACGTGCTCAAGAAAGGCCATCGAAGGAGCAAAGGGTCAAACAGCAAGAAGAGGATAAAACACCTCGGGGTATAAAAGAGTCTTTGAAGCAGGACCAAGAGTCCCGACAGACAATTCAGACTGGGGGGCTGTTCCGTGTAAGATCAACAGAAATTCTTGATGCACGGAGCATCTCTGACATGCGTCTGGGTGAGGCGATTCCAAACACCCCCGGTGTCGTGGAGGAAGGGAAATCTGAAGGAATTCCTTACATTTGAGTCAACACTGAGATTCTAACCACGAGGAAGCAAACCTAAAAGCAGCATGGAAAACTCTCCAGCGAGATTGCACGTAGGAGAAAAGGACATCAGTGAGATTTTGAGAAAATCCCCATTCAGGGAAATGTGGCTTAATAATGTGTAGCAGAAGGCAGTGGCTGAGGGTGCTGAATGTAGAAATTTGTAGGAAATTGACCCTTTTCAAAACAATACAAGCTGTTGCAAATGCAGCTCACGGCTGGCGTGAGGTCATCTCCGGGCCACCCCTCTGTGAGGCTTCCTCCCCAGGAGACGCGCAGCCCTTGCTGCATCTCACCTTCCTGCAAACCCGCGTCCACCCTTGGCAGCCCGGCCCTCCTCCGGCCGCCCCGCCGCCCCCTCTCACTCTCCACGCCTTAGAGGCGATTTTTAGCCCATCAGGCCAGGGGCAACATTCACCAAGTCTTGCTTAAAGATGTTGGTGGCATCTGAGCATCTGCCTCCGGCCCCGGGGGCAGCCTGGAGCCACCTCAGTGAGAAGCACCGTGTTCCCGGCCTGAGAAAGCTCCTTGGCTTCGGTCCCGCTTCCGACTGGAGATAAACGGAGGCAGAGTCACTTCTGAGGCCACACGTCATATCTCGCTCAGGGAGCCCTGCCCGGCCGAGCCACAGAGGCGGTGCCCCGCGCAGTCCTGCACATTGTACTCAACTAAGACAAAGCCCCCAAACTACCAGCTCCCTGGGAGCGGCTGGAAACGACACACACAGTGTCGCTGCGCGAGGCCAAAGGAAACTCACTAAAAGGGCCCCATGATCTTGCCAAGGCCTGGGAAGTGCTGTCCCCTGACACCGTCCCTGGTGCCCAGGGGAAAGTCCCCCAGGACATCACCACGATGGTCTGCGTCTTTCCAGTAGCAAGAGTCACAGTCCAGGACTGACCGACCCACGAGCACTCCCCGATAGAAGCAGGCGGCCCAGGGAGTCAGAGCCCCTCGGGGGCCCCCGCCATCCTCACAGTGCCGCGGGCGCTGGCCGGGACAGACAGGAGTCCACTCAGTGTCCACCACAGGCCCCCGGGAGGCACCTGCAGCTGGAAGGGCTAGGTGTGGCCACAACCACCTGCACAGGGGTGAGGGGCAGTGATTGATGGGAGGGAAGACCCGCTGGGTCACGTGACCCCGGGGACAGCATAAAAGGCAGGCCTGGGACCACACCTGCCCAGTCCCACCTGCTCCGGCCTCCAGGACGCTGCCCACGGACAGTGCACCTGGTCCAGCCCCACCCGAGCATCTCCTGACCCACGGAGCAGCCCCGCGGGCTCAGGTGAGTTCCCCCTCTCGGGGGTCCTCTGATGGCGCAGCCAGTGATAGAGGGGTGAGGGGTGTTTTCAGTGGGGGCAGGAGGGGTCGTCCCTCCAGCACTGTGCCCCGAGGCTGAGTCAGCCTTGCCAGGGGACCCGCCTGGCTCCCTGGCACAGACTCCAAGGGGGTTGCGGGGTGGCAGGGCTTGCTGTGCTGCCGCCTGGGCTGGGCTCCCACTCGCGGGCACCTGTGCACCTAGAGGGTTGGAACGGGGCGGGGGAGGGTGATGGTGAGTCCTGGGTCGGGGTGTGCAGGGGGAGGGGCTGAGCAGGGCCCCCAGGGTGGGCAGGAGAGGCCCTGAGGTAAGTCCTGTGGCCCCCGGTGTCCAGGACTCACCCCAGGCAGAGGCTGTGGCGGAGGAGGCGGGAGCTCCTGAACCCACTGACACTTGCGTTGTCTCTTGACCAGGTCACCCACCGTCGGGCCCGGGGACAGCGGGATGAAGCTCCAGGGGGCCCGTCCGATGGCGGGAAGGCCCAGGCCAGCTGGGGTCCTCCGCCCGGTGAGCACCCAGAGAGGGATGGCCCCGCGGGCAGGACCCGGGGTGCAGACAGCACCCCCAACAGTGGAGGAGGATCCTCGGGTAAGTTCAGGACCTTGTCGGGCCCCCCAGGTGGAGCACACGGCAGGCGCCCCTCATGCTGTCTGCACAGCTCAGGCCCCCCCGCCCAGCACCGCCAGGCGCTCCCAGGGCCGGCCCCGCACCCCCAGTCAGCTCCTCCTCCTGTCCCTGCACCTGCAGCCCCCGCTCGCCCCGGTGCCCAGTGCGGTCAGCCACAGGCGCCCTCCCTGCTCCTCCAGCCCCTCCCTCAGATCCTGGGGGAGGCCCCCATTCCGCCTCCCCCGCCCCCCACAGCGCCCTCCCCATCCCTGCCCCTGCATGTGACTGCGAGGCCCTGACCCCGTGTCCCTCCTGCCCGCAGGTGAAGTGCAAGGACTGCGGAGCCTTTGGGCACAAGGCCGCCAGCCCCAGGTGCCCCATCAGGTGCTGGCAGGGGGCCCTGGCGCCCCAGGCTTTGGGCTCCCTGCAAGGCAAGGAGAACCGGAACCCGTGGTACGGGCACCTGGCACGGAAGCCCCAGACGGGCACCCGGACCGTGCGGGAGGTTGCACGGGCACTGAGGTAGGTACATGCGGGCAGCTGGCGGGTCCCCCAGCTCACGGTCAAGGTTGCTGTGACCTACCCCTCCCCTGTGGGTACAGCCAGGCCTGGGCCAGCACAGGTGGAGGGGGCAGCGCCACAGGCCGGGGTCCTCCGGCCTCCATGCTCAGGGGCCCCTGATCTCCTGGGGACCCACAAGGGTGAGGGGGGCAAAGGGCACCTGCACCTGTGGACAGCAAGGGGGGGGTTCAGGGGGGTCCATAGGGAGACCGTGGGCGCACAGCAGTGGGGGGATGCTCCAAGGCAGGAGGACAGTGGGGTGGCCGGGGCCTTCCTGACCCTCCCGGGAGCCGGGGGATGGAGGGGGGGACACTGCCCACCCCCTCGTGGGCGCAGGAATCTCTGCTTAACGGCGTTTCTCCCCGCAGGCAGGAGCAGCAGCGGGGCGCCCTCCCACAGAAGCCTCCCAGGAGCACCCCGGGCCCAGCGCAGGGCGGGCGGGCAGCCGCAGCCCCCTGGGAGGACGCGCGGGTGAGTGTCCCTGCTCCCGGCCTGCCCCTGCGCCGGGGCCGCTGTGGTTCCCTCGCCGCGCGCTGCGCTGCTGACCGGAGCGGGGGTGAGCTCACGTCCCTCTCCCTCGTGTCCCCACAGCACCCGAGCCGGCCCCTGCCCGTCCACCCCACCCAGAAGCGCGGACCCGGCCCGGACCTGCCCTGGGGACGGCCGCGCGCGAGCTCGCAGAAGACACGCAGCGGCGTCCAGGGGTGTCCCAGCGGCCGGCCCGCCCCGGGGGGCTTCTCACCCGCCCCCTGAGGGAGATGCAGGGCGGGGCTCCCTCCCGTGGGCCCCCCTCTCTGGACACACCGCGGGGTGTCGCTCAGCATCAGGCCCTGGCTCCCGGCCCCCACCCCTGGACACACCCCAATCTCCTCGAGGTCCCCTCAGCCTCCGACCCTCAGCCTGCCCTGAAGTGGGGCCTCCAGGGCTCCTCCGTCAGCCCCGAGGCCCCGGGCAAGAGAGCCGCCCCCAGTCCTGCTCCACAGAAGCCCCCGAAGAAAGCCCGGCTGGGCCCGGCCCAGCACCCCCAGGAGGACAGTGAGGACGCAGACGTGGGGCCTGAGCCAACCCTGCCTCCCCCACCAGGCCTCCCGGAACATGGGTCCTGCACAGCCCTGCTGGCCACCCAGGGGGCGCCGGCCCCGGCTCCCAGCGCTGAGCCGCTGCGCCCTGCCCACGGCCCCGAGCGCCCAGACTCCCGGCCCTGCAGCCCGCCCCGCCCGGCCCTCACCTTGGTCCTCAGCAGACGGCAGCACGGCCAGTGGAGCTGCAGGTTCAAGGCCGCCTGCCCCCCGCCCCCTCCGCCGCAGAGCACCCCCACCCGCTCCAGCCCCGAGGGCGCCGCCCCGCCTGCCCCGCGCAGCGTCCTCCACGAGGATCTCCTGGTGTCTTCCTCCTCTGAGGACAGCGATGGGCACTGAGACGCCCTGGCCGCGGACCCTGGCCCGCAGGCGCCCCGAGGATGCCCCATGACAGTCGGGGACCCAGGGACGCCACAGCTCGCTGCCCCGCACCCTCGTGGGTGGGTTTACTGCAGACTCTGCTCACCCGCCGCGAGCGCGAGGCTCCTGTCTGCGGCGGGGATGGGGGCTCCCTGTGCCTTTGGCTCGTCCTGGAGCGCAGCCGTCGGGGGCCTGTGGCCGAGTCTCGTCTATTAATAAAGAGCCGGAAACGCACGCGGGTGCGCGTCTCTCTTTTCCGAGCGGCACATCCCGCAGCGCCCCCGTTCCCTCCCGCACAGCTCCCCGTGGAGACCCTTAAGAGTCTGGGCCCAAAACGGCCCCCGGCAGGCCCTCATTCCGGCAGCCAGAGGACCCCAGGGCCCCCGCGGGGTGTCCCCCTTCTGACGCCGTCTGTGCTTGGCGGAGGCCAAGGACCCGGCCGTCCCGGGGGGCTCGTGGGAATCGCTCTCCTGGAGGAGATGCCGCCACAGGGCGGGTGGGGGTGGGGAGCACCAGGGACGCTGAAGGGCGCCCTGGGGGCAGGACCCTTGACACCTTTCTGGGGGCGTGGTCACCCCAACTCTGCACCTGGGCAGGGACCCCGAGGGGGAGGAGCACTGGGCCTGAGTGCCCTGGGCTTGGGCGAGGGAGGGTCTCTCTGGCTTCCCTGTGGGGTGAAGCAGAATCGGGTCCAGCCTGGGCTTCACTGTGTGAATCTGGGGAGTCCCTGGGGTGGGCCCAGGGCGTGCGGAGGGCATCCTGCCCCGGCCCCCACCCCGCGCTGACATGTGTCCGGGGTGGTGGTGGCCGAGGGATCGTCGGGCACCTTCCCCCGCTTGTTTTGAGCCGAACACGAATCAGTTTCCTGCTCTTAGTAAAGTCTTTGAAAGTGAAATTTGTGTCGGGCTTTACCTTCCACGCGTCGCGAGTGCGTTTGCACACATCCCCCCACACACACTCATTTGCACACAAGAGTGTGTTACTGAGAGTGAAGAGGAGCTGGTGAGACACCGTCTGATTAGAGTCCAGCCCCCAGCAGGAGGCTGCCCGTTGCCGGCCGCCCCCAGGCTGGGCAGGGGAAGGACAGGGCGGCTCCCGCGGCAGCGGCTCCAGCTCTCTGGAGGCCGGGGGGCTGCCAGCTCATGGGTGAGCCCCATTGCACGCCCGGGAATCCTCGGGGTCTGTCTCTCCCGCTGTCACGGGGTCCCCGTGGTTCAGGACGTCGGGGTTGAGGAGCTGGGGGGGAGGGAAGGGGCGGGACGCCATCCGGGCGCAGCCATCTCGCGGCTGCAGCAGGACAGCCTGGCGCCGGCCAGGCCCGCTCCGAGCTCCGGGCCGGGCGAGTGAGGACACAGCGCCCCCCTTCCCCAGGGCCCCCCTTTTCGTCGGCTCCTCATGCCCAGGACCTGTCATAGCGACTGGCCGCCTCCCTCGCCCACCACCCCCGCAGCACAGGGGGCAACGGAAGAGGAAAGTCAGGGGACACACCTGGGCCCACCCAACGCTGCCCCATCCCCAGCGACCCCCCTCTCCAAATACCTGCAGGCCCGGCCTGCGCCCCCTTTATAGCCCCTGGCCCCGCTCGCCCTGAAGCCCCAGACCCCCCCCCCCGGGTCACCAACCTGCTGGGCAGCGCTGGGCGTGGCCCCTCCGGGCTGGCATCTCCCGGGGAGTCCGGCTCCGGGTGACCCTCTCCATGGACATGCACGACCCACCAGCCCTCGGCGTCCAGGGCGCCCTGAGAAAGTGCCGTGGGGCCTGGGCTGACCTCTGCCTTCGTCCCCCGACGGTTATGAGGCGCCTGCAGGGACGGGCGCACCCGGGCACAGCCCGGAGCCCCGGGGTGAGGGGGACACGCTCCGAATTCCTGAGCGCGCGGGTCCAGGGGCGGGGGCTGCAGTGGGGCCCGGGCAGAGCCGACGCTGCTTCCCCCCAAGGGAAGCCCGAGAGGACGCGGGGCCTCGGCCAGATTTCACGGAGTTCGGGTCGTTCATTTTCTGAAGCCTCGAGAGATCAAAGTGACCCACTGCCAGGGATGCGGACCCAAGGGCCGCCTGCCCACCCCCTTCCTTCCTGCCAGCGCCCACGGGGGGACAGCCCGGGCCACAGCTCCCCCCTAACCCGAGCCCTCCACGGAACGGCGGCAGCCCAGCCCCCCCACATCCCCCCAGCCACATCCGGGTTCTGAGGGCGAGATCCTGGGGCCAGTCCCGGAAGCAGGTGCCAGAGGTCACGCCCTGGGGCCTCTCCAGGGAGCGCTGGGCCTCCCTCCCTCAATCACTGCCCCTCACCCTGGGGCGGGGGTTGTGGCTCCAGGCGTCCCCCGGGCCATGTGGCCACACCCAGCACCTCCGGCTGCAGGGGCCTCCCGGGGCCGCGGTGGACACTGAGTGGATCCTGTCTGTCCCGCCAGCGCCCGCCCCACTGTGAGGATGGCGGGCCCCGAGGGGCTCTGTTCCCCAACACCCGTTCTGCATCTTCCCACCTCGCAGGCCCAGGCCTGGCCCTCGGCTCGGCGGGACCCCCGATCAGGGAAACCTCGTCACGTCTGTCTTGAGCTGTGCAGCTTCCCATAAGGATTTTTTTTAATCCCGAATCCTGGGGAATTAATGATGTAGCCGCCTGTGTCCATCCCGCGGGCTGCTCCTGAGTGCAGCGGGGCCTCCTGCAGCTCCCCGAGAGTCTGCTCCTGCCCTTTGCGCCCCGACCAGAGGAGTCACCCCAGCCCCACAGGTGTCCAGAGCCACCTCCGGGCTTCTCTGACTCTCTCCTGTCCCTGCCAGCTCGTGCTGATGCTGCTCTAACATGCGGGGGCAGGTGGGGTGACGCCAGTGGAGGGGTCCGAGCCGCTGTTTGTCGTCCCCAGCCCTATTCGGGTCCCAAGCCCATGACGCTGAGGGGTCGGAGGGGCCTGTTGGCTGTCCAGTCCCACCCGTGGGCAGCTGAGGCGCGAAGTGCCTCGTTAGGCCGCTCCTGTGCCAGGTCGGGGCCCGGCAGACGGGAGGCCGGGAGGGGTCACCAGGCGCCGGACTCCCGGGGGAGATGCCAGCCCGGAAGGGCCACGCCCAGCGCTGCCCAGCAGGCCGGTGACCGGTGGGGGGCGGGGGCGGGGCCTCGGCGCGGGGCGGGGCCAGGGGCTATAAAAGGGCGCGGGCCGGGCCTGCAGGTCATTCGGAGCCAGCGGTCCCGACGCGCGCATCGTCCAGCGGCTCGTCCTGACCCTGGCTGGGTAGACTCCGGACCTCGCCCCGACTCGGAGCTTCGGCCTCAGGACTGGACGCGCTCGCAGCCTCTGGACCAGGTGCGTGGCCCGGGAGCGCTGACCTGCCTCCCCCCGAGACAGACGCTCGTCCCTCCGGCCAGGCACGCGCGGCATGGCCCCGGGGCCTGCGGAGACGACCGGCTGCCAGGGCCGCCTCGGGCGCCGGCTGGGGCCCGGCCAGGTGGGGGCCGGGCTGCGCAACCTGGGGAACACCTGCTACGCCAACGCGGCCCTGCAGTGCCTGACCTACACGCCCCCGCTGGCCGGCTACCTGCTGTCCCGGCCGCGCGCGCCCTCCTGCCCCCGGCGGCTGTCCTGCACGCTCTGCGCCATGCGGGCGCACGTCTCCCGCGCCCTCCTGCACCCCGGGGAGGTGGTGTCGCCCGTGAAGGAGCTGCTCGCCGGCTTCCATGCCTGGCGCCAGGAAGATGCCCACGAGTTCCTGATGGCCACCGTGGGCGCCATGCAGGGCGGGTGTGTGAGCGAGCTCGCGGCCGCGCACCCACAGCCCCAGGACAGCACCCTGGTGCGGCGGCTCTTCGGGGGCTACTGGAGGTCCCAGATCCAGTGCGTGCGCTGCTGCGGAGTCTCCACCACGCTGGAGCCCTACCTGGACATCGCCCTGGACATCCAGGCCGCCGACAGCGTGGAGCAGGCTCTGCAGGACTTGGTGAAGCCGGAAAGCCTGGACGGGCCCGACGCGTACCACTGCGCTGCCTGTGGCGACAGGGGCCCGCCGCCAAGACGCTGGCTCTGCACGCCCCTCCCCAGGTCCTCATCCTCATGCTCAAGCGCTTCGGCGGCCCCACAGGCGGCAAGGTGGCCAAGCCCGTGCGCTACCCACAGCGCCTGGACCTGCAGGCCTTGCTGTCCGAGCAGAAGGCGGGGGCCCTGGAGTACGAACTCTATGCAGTGCTGGTCCACGCAGGCTGGGGGTGTCACCAGGGACACTACTTCTGCTACGTGAGCCCTGGGAAGGACCGGTGGTATCGCATGGACGACTCTCAGGTCACCTCCTGCAGTGTCTCCTCTGCCCTGAGCCAACAGGCCTACGTGCTCTTTTACATCCAGAAGAAGGAACTGGACAGGGCCAGCGAGCAGGACTCCCCTGGCGGACCACCCCCAACGCTGACCACCACAGGTGTGGACCTGCTCCCTCAGGCCCATCGGGAGCTTGTCGGAGACCAGCCTCCTGCTGTCCCCGAGCCCCAGGAGCCTGCGGGAGAGACCCCGACCCGGCCGGTCACCTTGGACCAGTGGAGAAAGCATCAGGAGCACGAGCGACCCAAGCCTGCCCTCAAGCTCAGGGAGGTGGACCGTGCCCTGCCCGCCGACGCGGTCGTGATCCACCGGCCCAGACAGCCCGCGGGGACCAGAGCGGGTCCTGCCCAGCGCGACACTGGCCAGCCGCAGCCTTCAGCCTGGGCACATGCTGCTCAAGGGCCAGCACCCGTGGGCAGAGCCCCTGGCATGGGAGAGAGAACCAGAGTCACCAAGGGGAAGAACAGGAAGGCCCAGAGGGTCCTGCTTGCCTTCTAGACACCGACTCCCATCTCCGTTCGTCCAGGCCGAGGTGACAAGAGCACATGAACACCCAGCATCCTGCGTGTCCCAGGGGAGGCCCAACCCGGCAGAGCCACCCAGACCCAGTGCTCCTCACCCTCAGCACCTTGGACATGACCCGGGAATGTTCCTACCCCTGCCCAGCAGCAATGAGATTCCCAAGCGCTCCCAGGCTCCGTGTGGGCCAGGTGCAGGGGCCCAGTGGAATCCCACTCCTGGCACGGGGTTCCCTAGTTTTGGTCGCACCTGATCCTCCAACTGTGGCGGGGGAAGAAAGGGCAGAGCCCTGGCCTGGGCGCAGGTGGCCCACACAGCACACTCATTCTTGTCTTAGGATGAGTTTTGCTGCAAAGCTACTCAGCTGTCCCCAATGGAAAGCTGTTCTGCATCCAACGAGTCGCTCTCCCGCGGCATGGAGTGCAAGGCGGGAGCAGGAGAGCCTCCCGGCGCCCGTGAACGACACCTGGACCTAGCAAGTTGGGCGTGCCCCCGGGCAGGAGGCAGCGCGCTCCATCCTGGAAGGACCGGAGACTCAGGAGCCAGTGCATGGAGTCACCATGGGGTGCCTTCTCCTGCGCCTGTTCTCTGTGAACTCACAACACTGTTTAATGTAGCATGTACGTTTCTTTCAATTAGCAGTGTGTGACCAAAATGATACGGTACAGCTGAGGTCCCCCAAGGGGCACAAAGCATTTCTACCTTCTGAACCTTCTGAGAGGACCTGTTGAGAAAGAGATCCATAGTGGTTTCTGGATGGCGCCGTGGGAGTTCAGTTCCTGATAGGATTTAGTCTCCTTAGAGATGCCAGAGCAGAGTGGGTGGTGGGGGGAGGGTGAGAAGCACCAGGGATCCCTGAAGCAAGGCCCCAGGGTATGACTAGTGGTAGTTGTGGCCCTTTCCTGCAGGGATCACATACCCTCAGCACCTCTGATAGGGACACCCTTGGGGGTGGTGCACCTGCCGCTGTGTTTTCTGGGAGTGGCATTCTTGGCATACTTCTAAGTTCTCTGATAGCAGGCATTGCCTGTAGCCCCTCGTTTTCTCTGAAGAAGGGAATGTGGGTGGTGGGAGGGCTATCTAGGACTAGATGTAGGGGTTGAATCCTGTGATAAAATTAACCTAGTGAAATCTGGCAAGAGGGAATATGATTTTGAGTGATTTGGGAAAGTTACCTTATCCTTCCCAAAAGACGAATAAAGATCAAATGTACCATACGTGACATGTGTGTGCCCATTGTTTTTTTAATCAGAATGTGTTTATCATTTCTTGCAGATGCTTTTGCCCGCTACTAAGACATGTAATTTTTGTGATGATATTTGTCATGGTAAACGTTCTGAGTAGTGTCATGAGGGTCAGGAGCTGAAGATGGGGTGTCCTTCGTGACTCAAATGTCTGCACCTTCCTCCCTAGTGGGCCTGTTTGGGTTTTGCTGCTTTCATTCTGCATAAATTGATGATCACGGGCATGGGTGCTCCATTCTGGGGACCAACAGTCATTAGAAAAGCGGGGGAAGTGATCAGATCATTGTTCGGGCCATAGCCAAAGCCTGCACTCATGGCCCGGGTGTGGGCTGCTGCTCCCTTCCACGCCGGGCCTCGTAATTCTGGAGTGAGACACCGTCTCTCCCACACATACTTATTTACTTTGCTCATTTATATCAGACAGAAAAGTTTCAGAATTAAAGCACAGTAGCTTACACTGTCTTTCAACAGGGATTCTGATGTGGCCTCCCCCATGATGCAGCCCACAGCCTCTGCAGCGCTGCTTAGTTCCCTGGCCTCCAACGAGGGGAGAGGGGGGAGTTTCTCACGAAACATACAAACAAAAACAAATGAGCGAAAACAATCACCAACAAAAACAAACACAAACAAACAAAAACAGAAACAAACCAAAAGAAACAAACACTCACAAAAACAAAACCAAAAACGAACACTAACAAAAATTAAAGAAACAAACAAACAAAAACAAAAATAAAACACTAAAAAGAAATAACAAAAATAAACAGAAACTAACAAAAACAAACTAACAAAATCAAACAGAAACAAACACTAACCAAAACTAACAAAAACAAACTCACAAAAACAAACAAAAGCAAACAAACAGAAACAAACAAAAACAAACACTAACAAAAACAAACAAACAAAAACAAACACAAACAAACAAAAACAAGCAAAAACAGAAAACCAAAAACAAACACTAAAAAGAACTAACAAAAACTAAAAACAAAAACTAACAAACACAAACAAAAATTAACAAAAACAAACAAAAACAAACAAACGGACACGCCCGGGTATTTCCACCAAGGGTGCCTTGATCAGGCTCTTTTAAAAAGCTCCTGGGACGAATGGGCACCCAGAGGGCCCCCAGGTACGGGGGAGAGGAGGGACCATGGCCCACGGGAGGCGGGGTGCAGGGGGGAAGGAAGAAATAGAAAGCTACATAAATGACCCCCCCAAAGGTTAACAGACCTGAACACAATTGTTGATGGGAAGCAGACAGCAATTTGGCTTTAAAATCTTGTTTCAAATTCAGAAAACCCGGAAGGAGACTGAAGCCACAGGCACATCCCGGGGATTCCCGGCCAGGAAAGCCTGGTGCTAACAGTCAGCGCCTGATCATTATCAGCTGTTGCCAATTAAACTGAGAGGTTCTCTTCTTACTGTCCGTTTCCCTGGGGGCAGGAACACAGCAAGGGGATCTACCTGGTCTTGATAGAAGTTCCCGTTGCCCACAGCCTTCTGGGGCCTCTGGTCCACGGCAGTAGCCTCCTAGCCACGCAAAGATGAAGCCCTCAGCTCATTTCCACCTTAGAGTTGAATAAACTGAGTCACAAAAAGACTGAGTAGCATCTCCTGGACTATGACGGTGGAAATGAGAACCCACGAGGTGTGTCTCCAGGGTCTGGACTTATTTGTTCCCTGAGCCCTTCTTCACACTTCTCTTGTCTCTGACTCTCCAGCCAATATACCAGAATGTTGAATTTTAGTTCCTCCTCCTCACATGACTGTTTCCACCCTCGCTGCACCATAGAATCGCTTGGGGGGGGGGGTTTGAAAACAGTGACTTATCACTGGGAGGCAAGACTGTTCACTCACAGGGCCTCGGGGTGTGAGTGGGGACGGTGGCAGTTGGGAGAGCACCCGCCAGCTGAGTTCTCTCTTGGAAGCATTTCCCCTTGAGCTTGAGTTCAGTTTTTAGGTTTCATCAAAGGGAATACATGTGCAATTCCTTTGTGAGAACTTTCATTCTGCAGTACGTTGCGGGCTTCTGTGGTGTGGGATAGCTTAGGGGGTGCAGCTTGCCTGAGTGCTCTCGGCAGAGCTGCTGTGGAAGGAGAAAGCACTGGCGGGGAGCTGACTGGGTGCAGAGCTCAGGACTCACCCAGTCAAGGTACTGGATGTGGTCATGGGACGATGAACTCCCGCCCCCACTTAGCCCAACTCAGAGGCTTCATGGAGAAATTCAAGGAGTGTTCTGTGGCCTGGAAGTGCTGAGCTACCCGTGCCTCTGGTCTGTAACTGTCCCCACAGAGACGGGGCTGGTGCTGACACAGTGGTGGACATCAGTGTCATTGGTACTTCCCCCCGCATGACCTCGCCAAGCCAGGGCCACGGCACACTGGAGCAACCAGGCACGGGTGAAGGATCTTGTGTCACCCGCAGGCCGCGGACGGAGCGCACTATGTCAGTGAGGAGAGAGGATGCGTGGGGATGAGCTGTGTGGAAGGAGCTGCTGGGAGAGACTCTGAGTTGGGCTAAAACTTCAGCCCACGTGCCGCGGAGCCCAGACCTAAACAGGTGCCTACAGCTGCATAAGGACAAGCAGAACTTCAGCTCACCAGACTTTCTTAGCAACATGGTTTACTCACATCTTTACAAATCTATTGCAAACTTTAATTTCTTACAAAATTTTGCATACTCCCAGCATCAGTTCAGTATTCCCAGACCATTTGACTATCTTGGCGACGTCACCCTTTCCCTGTAAAATTATGGTTATTCTTAATTATTTCTAACTTGCATATTAAAAGATTCTGAGAGTATTTTTCTCCTAGACTTCGTTATCTGATGTGAAATCTAGCTAAAGTTTTCTCCACTTTGGTTTTTGGACTACCGTCTCCTTGGTTTGAGAACCTTCTTTCATGACACTGAGTGCTCTGTACAATCTGACTCCTCCTATGTGCCACAGAATGGCTCTGGGAATAAGGGTTCTGTTGGCTTTTAATTGAATCGCTTCTGTGTGAATTGCCTGGTAATCCTCAAGCACATTCATCGCTCACATCCTGGGTTAGCAGTGACTCGTTCACTGAGCTTTCTTGTGCCTACGTGACTGGTGCTTGGCTGAATATTTGTTCACATGGATGACACTCCCAAGCGGTCTGACCTGTGTCAATCCTCTAGTGTGTTTCAAACGTACAACTGCTGCTGAAGACAACCTCGTTCTTTCTATGTACAGTAGGAGTTCTCTCAGGTCATCGAAGGTCAGGCCAATGACTGAAGGTTTTGATGTCATACGTGTGTATTCACGGCCACATACATGTGCATATGTCAAGTTAGAAAGACTAGAGGATCTTCCACATCAGTTGCAGTATCCCTTCAATGTATGAGTCTTCTGGTGTGTTTCAACATTAAAGCTATGGTTGCCGTCTCTTAAACAAAATGAATCATCATTGTATGTCATCTCAGGTCAGAATATTCACTAAAAGCACTCATGTTCTCTCCACTGTGGATTCCCTCGTGTCGTCTAAGGGCAGAACACTGAAGGATTTCCCACATTGATGACATTCATATGGTTTCTCTCCAGTGTGAGTTCCCTCGTGTCGTCGAAGGGCAGAACACTTACTGAAGGCTTTCCCACACAGGTGACATCCACACGGTTGTTCTCCAGTGTGCGTTCTTGCATGCTGCCTGAGGTTAGAGGACTGACTGAAGGCTTTCCCGCACAGGGGACATTCATACGTTTTTTTCTCCAGTGTGAGT